CAGACAAAAACACACGTGGATTTAACCACAATTTCACTTGATCAAGATTTCACAATTCTCCCATAAAATAACGTTCGGGCACTCTCTCTGAGCACCGCGTTTCAAGTTCACTAGTTTTTTAGTGACTAAATGGCAAAAGCATTAATTAGCTAAGTTAATGGTCTCAAGCCCGGGAGATTTACTAGCATAGACGAATTTGGAAGTGTAACATGCACCAACAATGCCTTACATCAATAACCACTGGCTTGACCTGTAGTTTATCAGTTAGCGTGTTTTTGTGAAGATAGGGATCGCAGTGAGAGCAAATTTCGATTCAGTTTCTTAGTGAAGAGCCATCTTGCCCAACAGAATTACAAACCAACAGAAATTAATCTAGATGAATAACTGCTTGTTTATCTGCAATTACACATCTAGATTAATTAGTTTGTTTTATTTTAGTATTTTTATTTGCTATTATAGTATTTATTAATTTTGAATTAGCTTTCATTTTTATGCTTTAATTTCTGTTTTATTTCAGTTTTAGTTATTTTAGTACTTAAACTTATTTTAGTTTTTCATCTAACATTATATATATATATATATATATATATATTTCAGCTTTATTTCAATTAACAAAAATGACATTTTTGAGAAATGAAGAAAAGAATAATTGGTAAATACTAATGCAAAACTAGTCTGAGACTATGGGTGTTTGGGAAAATGGTTGTCAAGGTATATGTTTATACCTAATTTTGTTATAAACTATCAATTCAAACAGTTCAGTCTAATAAATTTGTGTGCTATACATTTTTATGCTCCAGTTGAACTGATTTCTGAAAGGTGCCCTGCTTTGTGTTTGACGAGTTGTTCATTATCTTAGCAACATGTTAACACCAAATTCTATTGGGATTAATTGCGAGTAGTATCTCCGATGTAGAACAAATTTTTTTTTATTGGTCACACGTTATTTTAATTCGCACGTGAGTTTAAAATATTCTAGCTGAGCCCCCAGCGTGAGTTTTTTTAGGCGACCGTTATTTTGAAATGTAGCGCCTTATTGTTTCCATGGCGACATGTCATGCTTGTCATGTGACACAACGCAGCCACAATAGTGCTGTATGACATGTAGAGCACTGTTTTTATTGGTTTTATGTAAATTTTCCTTTTTCATTAAAAAAATTCCTTATTTGTTAACTACATCATGAAATATCTGATATTCTGTTTTTCAAATACAAGTTATTTTGCTGTTTAAACACCTTTATAATGATCATGTTTGACCCAAAATGCACAATGGGCAGTGCCATGTTAGTTTGCGGTGCAATCCAGGGAATCGGAGCTGTCCGATTTACAACACGTAAATTCATTCACGTCTCCCAAAAGACATGAAAGTAAATGGCTGGTAAACTGGGGCAAATAGAATAAACTTTATAGTTACCTACCCAATCTGTCAGGGTTGGGGATGAAGGACGGAGCGAGGACTCAATAGTGCGGGAAGATAAGGGCTTTATTAATAAAATAAAACAAAACAGACAACAAAAACTACCCCGTGGGGGAAAAACAGGCTGGCAAGGCTAGGCAAGGCAGGATCTCGACACGACAGGACAAGACAGGACACATCCAGGGAGATACGGTGACGAACTGACCCCGGACTGCAAACACAGGGAGAATAAATGGAGAGCAAATGAGGAGGGTAACGAGGGAACACATGTGGGGCAAATTAACCAATAATCAGGTAACAAGATGGGTGGGGTCAAGACAATTGACATGAGAGCACATGGCACACAGGAAACAAAGACAAAAGCCATGTGCTCACACAAAACAAA